GATTGAAATTATTATTTTTTGATTGAAGATGCTTTTTGTTTGATTGAATAATAAAAACACAAATTTACCTCCATAAAGGTGGTGCTCGCGGCCCACAATTGGGCTGCGGCCCATAGGTTAAGAATCTCTGATTTAAAAGGCGTTTGTTTTTCATAGTTCAGAGCCAAAATATGTACAACTTGTTGAATGCATACTTGATCGAAATCCAAAATATTACTTGATAATGATGTAATTGACAGTAAGACGAGGCTATTTTCCTCCAGCTCAATTTAAATTCTAAATTCACAGCCAATCATTTAACAGAAAAGCTTGCTCTTATTTAATAATTTAAAAGCCTGGTGATCTCCAAATATTTATGAGTCATGAAATAGCATTGAAGAAGCTGGTAGTCTTGCAAACAATGTCCAAACTTTTAAATTCTCTTAATTTTAGTATTGTTCCACCTGTGGCTTATTGACATTTTTAGTCTGTTTTTGTTACTAAAAAAATAACTATTCACAAATCCATTAAGTTGGTAGAAACTTAAGCCTGTCCCTCTGTGAGCTGTCACTATTTGTGACAAATTTTGAACAGTGGAAGTGGAACTTGTACAAATGTGTCATTCACCCTAGCCTGGCCAATGCCTTCCTACGTAATGCTTCCAATGCTCAGTCTGGGATTTCTCTGGTAGAATTTCAACCAGCCAATCAGCAAGTAGAGGGAGGAGCTGTGAATGGTGACGTTGATTTTCTGCGATGTTTTAATCTGCCTATAGTTTAGCATTGGCAGCGAAGGAAGTGAATGAAATCATTCAGTCTGTACTGACAAGGCTTCCAAATGAAATTTGGCTCTGTATGCTGGATAGAATGTTGGAGCGGACTACTGGAGTGGACTGCTTGTATTGGATTGCTTACAGAGATTTTAGATGCAGGCCGATATATAATCTGATACATTTTTTCTTTTTTTGGCTGATATCTACGGAGCCCATCCGGTGACATGGAATGAAATTTTTTTTTTCACGTGGCCACGAGAACGTGTGCGCACGTGTTATGTGCACGTGATGATTAACGCGTGCGTACGTGATGATTAACGCGTGGGCACATGTTAATTATCTCGTGCGCACGCATTATCTCATGGCCACGTGAAAAAAAAATTATTCCATGTTACCGGACGGGCTCCGTAGATATCGGATTAATATCCAATATCAATATTGGTTTGGGATTCTCCTTGTTTTAATCATATGTATTTCTTATTTTGCAGCAAAATGTCACACTTGATGCAATCCTACAGGTAGGAATCTAGACAGTCTTCATATTTAATCCTCAAATAAACTAAATACTAACTGTTGACCAAGTATTTATTATTTTTAATGCATGACAAATGATTTTTGTCATTGCAGAATGCAACCAGTGATAATGCAGTAATACAACTGAGTGCTGTTCAGGCAGCCAGGTTAGTAGCTGTCACAACACCATACTGACACTTGTTTTTAAATACAGTGATCTTGAAGTTTTTATTCTGTTTTTGTCAGAAAATTGCTCTCCAGTGACAGAAACCCTCCCATCGATGACTTGATAAAGTCAGGCATCCTGCCTATTTTAGTCAAATGTCTGGAAAGGGATGACAAGTAAGTCTGATTGTGATTATTATTATTATTATTAATTTTCTGTTGTTGTTTGTTTGACACTACTCCAGAAACGTGTTATTCTAATGAAAATCTTGTGTGCATTGGCCTGTCCGCATGTGAGTGTGTGTAGAAGCCAGCAGGGCAGCTGGCTGATCCTCTCAGCTCAGGCCAAGTCAAATTTACCTCTTAAATTTGTCTCTTAGTTCCTCACATCTCAGGACCCTGCATTAACTGAGGCTAGACAGTGAATAGTTTAGTTAGAAGAAATCGTCAAGGTCTCACTATAGTATCATACAATTAGTTCATGTAGAAAACTGTTTTACTTCTTTGGCAGTAATCCATGTATATTTATTCATTAGGAGAAAATATTCCTATTTAGACCAGTGAGTTGATTGCATATCTAACGTCTACTTTTATTTGCATGTGTTTTGTTTGAAGTTTATAGTAAAAAAAAATCCTGTAAAAGCAACAAAATGCATGTGAAGCACAAAAACAAAATGGCTTTTTAAGGCATCAACTTTTGTTTATTTGTTTTCTATTTGACAGTCCTTCTCTTCAGTTTGAGGCAGCCTGGGCCCTGACCAACATTGCCTCTGGGACGTCAGCACAGACTCAGGCTGTGGTCAAATCCAGTAAGTTGACCCTTCCTTCAGTGTTATCACTTCAGTTTGTTTATTTACTGACTACAATTTGTAACTCTTTTGTTTTTCTGTTGAATAGCTTTCAAAAATAAAATGGACTTTGAGCTAATTAAAATTGTCTGAATAGGGGAGCTGTAGGCAGGAAAACTAAATGTTACTTTAATAGTAATTTTGCAGACATTTATTGTAAAACTGCAGAATTTATCAAATAATTATTCATCTTAAGATCAGTAAAACCTGACTTAATGTCTGAACTGCATAGTCAGGGCTAGAAAGAAGCTAAGCATCTTATTTGTGAGAAAATCTACACTTTGGACAGTGATCTCAGTATAAACAGGTGTTTTATTTACACACACAAATGTTACACATGGTTGACTAGGTTTTGTTTTCACAGTGTATATTTTTAGCTTAATGGATGGATATGTAGAAAAAAATCAGATTTCTAAAACAGTTTTTGTTCTATTTTGTAAAGTTAATAAAAATTCTTTAAGTGCACATAATTCATGACCAGTTTGCAACTTGTCTGTCAAAATTTTAGTACATTTCTGCCCACTTGATTCTGAAAGAGAATAAAAACGATGTTGGAATCCTTCATAGTATTTCATTCCATTAGTGGCCCGCATGGCTGCAGGCTTGCAACAGAAGCAAATATTTTGCAAATGTTTTCTGCATGTGAGCCAATAAAGGCAAAGCGGAACCAAACGCTGAGACTGTGTTACTGGAGAAGACCTCTGTACCTCTGTGCTGGTTTGTTGCTCTTAAGAGTTGGACCAGTAGTTTATTTACTGATGATTTTGTCGATGCCTCTGTTTGGTTTGGGATGTTGTCGATAGAAAGTTGTGACTCCGTCACAGAGTCATGATTTATTTTGGTTTTGACTGTTCTCAGCAAATGACCTCATGTGTCACTGTTGTTACACAACCCGTCACCTGAGGCAGAAATGTTTGATCTGTTGATGTTTGCATATCCAGATGCAGTGCCCTTGTTCCTTCGACTCCTACACTCTCCTCACCAGAACGTATGTGAACAGGCTGTTTGGGCTTTGGGAAACATTATTGGTGAGTGTCACTCTCTAGGAAAATGTGCGTATTGAAATCCTGGGAGCATCTATGCAGAGTGATTAGGATCTCTCCTGTTGCCTGCTCAGGTGATGGTCCACAGTGCAGGGATTATGTCATCTCACTGGGCGTGGTCAAGCCTCTGCTCTCCTTCATCAACCCATCAATCCCCATCACCTTCCTCCGCAATGTTACCTGGGTCATTGTTAACCTCTGCCGCAACAAGGATCCACCTCCACCCATGGAGACTGTGCAAGAGGTGGGCGTGTCTGAGTACATGCTGTTTTATGCTAGACTGATCCCAGTGTCCGTACGGGCTGTCACTGCATGTTCAGTTATCATATCAGCATCATCACATGTGACTTTTAACACCTTTTTTAAGACAGTTAAATTGCATTTTTACTTCTCTTTCTCCTTCTTTTTGCCCTTAGTTTGTTCCACATCTCATCTTTACTCAGTTTTGTTTTTTTGTCCACAGATTTTACCTGCTCTCTGTGTGCTAATATATCACACTGATATTAATGTAAGTATCAGACTGAAAGGTGAAATACAAGACCGTGTGTTTCCTGATGTGTATGACTTGTTTGAAAACAAATCATTGCCTTTTCCACATTTTTTTAATATTCTAATGTTATTATGGCCTGTGTCTTTAGATACTAGTAGACACAGTGTGGGCTTTGTCGTATCTGACGGACGGAGGCAACGAGCAGATCCAGATGGTCATTGATTCTGGCGTGGTTCCATTTCTTGTGCCTCTCCTTAGCCATCAGGAGGTTAAAGTTCAGGTAAGACTTTTTTTTTAGGTCATTTTTACTTCAAATGCTGTTTTTTTTTTTTTTTTTTCATATAGTCCTTCGTAATTAAGTAATGAAGCAATCAGAAATGATCTCTCTTTAATCTTTCTAAATCCAGACAGCAGCTCTGAGGGCAGTTGGAAACATAGTGACAGGAACAGATGAGCAGACGCAGGTGGTTCTGAACTGTGATGTTCTCTCTCACTTTCCCAACCTGCTCACCCACCCTAAAGAAAAGATCAACAAGGTATCAAAACAAAAGATTAAGTCTATACGTTAGCTTTAGCATTTGTGTTATGAAACATTACTTGTGACAAACTTAAATGTTACTAAGGCCTCAGTAATATGCATTCCTTCAAGGAATGCATATTACTGAGGCCATTGAATAATTAAAAGCCTAGTCTAGCTAGTAAAAGTTAGATTGCATGTAAAAAAAATGCTTAAAATGTAGGTGGTATTAAATCCAGATATAGCTGAAAGAATATTATATGTGTGCTTAGGTTCTGAATATCATTGTGATTATTTTTGATTGGCTCTTTGCAGGAAGCGGTCTGGTTTTTGTCCAACATCACAGCAGGGAACCAGCAGCAGGTCCAGGCTGTGATTGATGCTGGGTTAATTCCTATGATCATTCACCAACTGGCTAAGGTTTGTGCACAGTGGAGGAGCGGCTCTAAATATAAGCATTACAGTCTCTGTTCTTTAAAGTCACTTCTCCCCACACAGATCAGACATTTGAAAATGTATGTTGCTTTTAACAGTATGCATTCTGAAACTGATGCTTTCTGTAGGATAGCCGACGAATGAAATGGTCCCAAGTATGTGTTAGAGGTTCTGTGTTCCTTGACAATATGCTGTGGTTGTACATGTTAGTGACAGCCTGATTCTCCACAGGGTGACTTTGGCACTCAAAAGGAGGCAGCATGGGCCATCAGTAACCTCACCATCAGTGGGAGGAAAGACCAGGTGACTTGAGCTTTTGAATCACTCATTTTTAAACATTTTGTATTTGTTTTCATGTAAATAGATGATTGAAATGGAGCTTTAAAACATTTTATGTACCAATGGAGGCATATTTAAGATCTTTCACAATTTTATTTGTAAATGTTCATAATAAAACAGCAAGGCATGTTGTTGTTTTTATATAATAATAATTAAAAATAACCTGATTTCCAGACTTGTAACGATGTATTTGTGTTGCAATAAAGTATGAATGTGGTGTGTATGTATGGGTTTGTGTAGGTGGAGTTCTTGGTGGAGCAGAACGTCATCCCGCCATTCTGTAATTTGCTGTCGGTGAAGGACTCCCAGGTGGTGCAGGTGGTCCTGGACGGCCTCAAAAATATTCTCATCATGGCTGGAGAAGAAGCCAGTACAATTGCTGAAATTATAGAGGAGTGTGGAGGTTGGGATTCATCCATTTGTTAGTTTTGTAGTTTTAAATTTACTAACTATCAAAACAAGGATTTTTGCTTTTCTTTGTTTTGGTTCATTCATTTTTTCGTTTCCATTTTAAGGTTTGGAGAAAATAGAAAATTTGCAGCAGCATGAGAATGAAGATATCTACAAACTAGCCTTTGAAATAATCGATCAGTACTTTTCAGGAGATGATGTAAGCTCACGTCACATTTTCCTCTTTGCATTGCCGCTGCTTCTACATCTCAGTGTGATATTTCCATATTTGGTCTTTCCAGATTGATGAAGATCCCAGTTTGATCCCTGAAACCACACAAGGAGGAACCTTCAACTTTGATCCAGCGTCCAACATGCAAACAAAGGAATTTAATTTCTAAAAGCCCAGAAGGTTTGGTTCCACCAGCTGCACGAGTACTCTGTACTTATTGCAGACATTTATCCCATCTCTCCCAAAAATCTGGCAAACCTGGTACAGAAGGATAAATCACAGAATCCCTTCAAAGATGGAAACTCACCACTGACCATTCACTCCTGTCCACCTCTGCACTGTGGGKTTTTTTTTCCTTCCTTTTTTTTTTTTAAAGTTTTTTCTTTTTTTGAGCAGAGCTATTCTTCATAGGAGTCCTGGTTTTTCAACAGGCATCTCAGCCATCTGGCAGCCTGCATGAGGAGTACTGTCAGTGCTGCCAGCGCTTCTAAATATCACTTAAAAGTAAAACTCAGAAGGAAAGAAAAGCMTTCTTGGCAAGATTTGATTGCCAAAAATCAAGTCTTCACAAAGACAAAAGAAAAAAAATGTAAGCACATTTTCAGACACAAACACACACTTGCATATAATATACACACATTTATAAATATATAAATATATGTAAACACACTTTTTGACACTTAAAATTTGTGTGCATACTTCTGTTAGAAGCAGTCATATCATTTTTTGGGAAAATACTGCTGTCTGTGGTTTATTTTGTGTTTTCCTCTCCCCTGGATTGTCTTCTGGTGTATATTCACCTACACATGCACACAGACACTGAAATACATGTGCACACTTGGTCACACTGATTTCCAAAGCCCCAGGCACACACCATTTTAAAGATTATTTCCCAGTGCTAAGCCATGATCAACCACGGACCCCCCACCCCCACCCGCTGCCCTCCCAGGAGAGTTTTTGGGCAGGTATAGGGACACGGAAGGGCTATAAGGTGAAACAAAACAAGAGGACTCCATGGCAAACTGACTAATGGGACTTCCTACTCGATGACGTCACTTTTTTTATGTTGGATTTTCAGACTTTAAATGAAATCATCAAATGTGAAGAAAATGCCATATTTTTTCTGTTCAACACATATAACTGCAAAATCTGCAAACTGCCTGCTTCTGATTCAGAAGAGAAGCATCTTTTTTAATAGATGTGAATACCGGTCACATTGTGGGGGGACAACTTTAGTGAAGCCACAGACTTTTTAAGAGAAGAGGAACATGTCAGCTGTAGCGTTCATTCATTCCCCTCCTTTTTTTTAAAATTTCCTTGCTGGACATCTGCTTCTCTTGCGTTCACGTCCTGCTCGCCGGTGAGCTGGTTTTTAGGTCTCCTCCTGTAATGTGAAAACTCAGAAGGGGGATGTTTAACAAAAAAAAAAGGAAAGCCCAGATCATAAGTTTTTAGTTGTTTTTTTTTTATCTCTTTAACCAAATATTAGTTTGATGTTTCAGCTTCTTCTGGCTGCTTGCGTCTGTGGAGCCTCTGTCACATTTTTAAAACATTTTTCTCTTTTAGTCTTATGCACACATTTGAGAGACGTAATGTCTGCTGCAGAACGGGACCTAAGCCCATTGAAGACTAATCTTGCAAAAGGAGTACAGGTCCTGATTTTTACAATACTTAACTACTTTTGATGAAGAGGTCACACGTCATCACTCAATTTGAATAATTGTAAAAAAAAAATGTGATGTGAATCTCCTTGTCGTCTAATGAATATATGAAAATATATAAGCCTGTACAAAGCTGCTGCAGCTGACAGTCAATGTATGGATAACTGTCAAGTATGACAGGAAGGGGGGTGTTTTTTTTTTCTTTTTTGTTGAAGCAATATTTTCTTGTTTTTATTTTTGACTTGCCTATGTATTGTGATGATGTGCTGATTAATCAGAATAGGCTGGGTTTATTATGATTTTTTTTCCCTCTGTTATGACGATGGCCCTTTTTAAAAATGTGCCATCCCATTGTTCCAGTTGGGGTTTGGATTCAGGTTTAAGGTGTTAAACTTTAATCCCAGCCCTAGCCCTGGTCTGCAGACTTTATGATCCGCCGATTGGCTGCTAACTACTCAGAGGGGGTCAGAGGAGAGACCGGGGCTTTAAATAATGTTGTAGGGCTGTAATAAAAACCCATGGCTTGTTCTGTTTTTTTATTTTATTTTTTAGAGGGGGGGAGGGAGACTAGCTAATATTACTGAACAAAAAACTATAGAGAGGGTGTACAGTCACGACCTAGCAGACTAGACCGAGCCACTTTAAAGATTTACAATTTTGTTGCCTTGTATCTGAATTGGATACAAGCTTATGTTTGCAAGATTTTTACTTGCTAATGACAAGTTGTTTTAAACTAAAATAAGAGAAAAGCAACAGACAGCATTTTGGCCTCTGATTGTTTGTATCTTTTTATAAATTTTAGATTGAATTCCTCTCTTTAAGGTGGCTCATTGATGCTTTCAACTCTTGTGCATAATTAAAGACAATAATGAGTTGAAAAGAAATCATTGTGCCTTTGGTTATTTGTTTCCTTTCAGTTAAAATTGAGGTTTACTGAAAAGTAAAACAAACTGAAGTGTATGTGTATGTATGTATGTGTATATATATATATATATATAT